GGGGGCACATGATGGGGGTAAAATCTCTATGCATTAAGAGAATACTCCTAAAAAGTTATAATATTAAGAAGTTTCTTTAATGGTAGTTACTGATAAAACCAATAAGGGATTCTTTAGGTCCTAGCGTAGCTCCAACAAGCGGCACCTGGGATGTGTCTGTCCAGTGTGAACCTTCATGCCAGTTTACAGATGAGAGGACAGAGGTTCTATGTCTGTGGTATGACGGAAGGTGTGATTAGCTCTCATTCTCCTGACTTGGGATCCCTGGTGGCATAATGATTGGGTTTCTAACTGCAAGATCAGCAGTTCAAAACCACCAGCACTCCATGGGAGAAAGATGGGACTTTCTGCTCCTGTGAAGCGTTACAGTCTCAGAAGCACAGGGGTGGTTCTACCCTGTCCTGTAGAGCTGCTATGAGTCAGCATTGACTCAATGGCTGAGAGTTCTGAAGAATGAAGCCAGCGTTAACACAGTGTTCTAACTAAAATCTCTTCAGCAATCATTCTTACTAGCATAATGCATATCTGAATGCTTTGTTCACTTTCCCCAACTTATGTTATCTCTTCTTATCACCTACTCCCCTACAGAGCAAAACAGTCTTCTGGAATCTATACACATGACTCTCTGGGGCAATGCACACGTTCACCTTCGTGCAGCTGCTTTATAGGTCAAGGTGACAAATCAAGATGACAATTTAGTGCCTTTCGGTCTCCAGTCCTCCACTGTAATTCACCAAACTGTAAAGGAGCTGGGGCAATAACTCTCCAAGTTGTTATGTTCTAAACACAAGTTACCTGTGCAGACTCTTTTAAAGTTGGGATTTTCCAGAAGGTGTCCTGGTAGGCGGCACTGGAACCGATGCTGCCAGAACTCAGGGAACCAAGGATTCCTTGTATTGGTGTCCAGCCTCAGTTTCAGGAAATAATCATCAAATGATCTGACCTCTGGAGACTGCAGCTTTATGGTGATTCCTCCATTGGCTTCCACCTCATAACCTTCAATGACTTCATCTCTATCTGCCCAACCATCACTAAAAAAATACAGGGATTGGGGTGGGGAGAGAGAAAGACAAAAGTCTCATAAATAACACTCACAATCATGTATGAATTAAACAATTAGGCACAACTTAAAGTCCGCTTTAATCCAGCATTACTAACCATCAATGGCTTGTGATTAAGTAGAAGTCTCTAAGACAGTGGTTCTCAACCTTCCTAATGCCGCGACCCTTTAATGCAGTCCCTCGTGTTGTGGTGAGCTCCCAACAATAAAATTATTTTTGTTGCTACTTCATAACTGTAATTTTGCTACTTTTATGAATCGGGTGACCCCCATGAAAGGGGTTGAGAACCGCTGCTCTAAAACAATATCCTAGGTTTGCTTTTATCTGTTTTCTATTTATGTGTTTATAACAATAATTCAAATTATACTCAAGATGATGATGATGATGACAGTAGCTATTACAACTAACATTTATTGAACAGTTACTGGTCATCAGATTCTCAGCGGAACACTTTCATATCCTTTGTCTTTTTAAAATTCATACATTAGCTCTTTGAGTCATACATTATAATTTCCTTTTTACTTATGCCAAGAAACAGCGAGGTCATTAGTCCTAGGCACAGCTTTGGTGGATGGATATCTACCTGTTTCCAAAACCCTTGAGCGCTATGCTTACTACGATAACAAAACTGCCAAAGGCCCCTGCTTTAGAATGGTTTCCAGGAAATTGACCTTGAGATGGAGAAGGTCAGGCACAGACTTACGAGAGAGAAGTATGGGGAACACCTGTGAGGAGGAAGGGAGCATGGAACACAGGATTGGGTAGATGGACAAACTGAAATGGATTGCCATTACAGCAGAGGTGTCAACCTAGCTTATGAGAAATTCTGGCGCTGGGCTGGTCTTTCAGAATTGTCCCAAATTGAGGCAGGGGTCAGGTCATGTACCCAGTCACTGAGGATGGGGTGTGGCCTCCGAAGTCTCTTACCAAGCTGCATTGACAGTAGCTGCAGCATTGGGTTAAAGGCAGCAATGACTGTGAGTTGTGTTTCATTCAGTTGTAAATAGAGTGGATATTAGTTGGAGGCAACTCAAGGGCACCTAATAACAAGAGTAGCAGGTTCTCAGTAAACGTTTATGGGGAGGATGGATATAAATCAGTAATTTAATGAGAATAGCTAGGATCCACTTAGGGCTTATTAGGTAATTTCAATTTAAGTTGCATAACTATACTAGTTTTATTCCAATCTTACAAATGAGAAACCTAAGATGGGTTATATTCAGCAACTAGCTAAATTTCCTCTGGGCCCAGGATGTAGACCTGGCTGTCTCCGTGCTCAGGGCTCTATGGGGAAGTAACTGGTAGACCAGAGGGAAATAAAACCCAAACACTCCAGTCAAATAAAACTTCATAATAAAAGTTGAACAAGTTTCAATGTTGCAGTCATGAGGAGTATAGGAGCTACATAATATAAAATAAAAAGTTTATTTTTCTAAGGCATATGCCAACTACAAGTGTTTTCTCCTGAGACATTGTTCAATCATTCTTCCCCAAGACATTTTTCAAACATTCTCCTTCAGAAGCAAATAAAAGTTTTTCCTCCAGTGCCATTTAAAAATAGCAGCGTTAATAGGAAACCATCTCACTTGTCCCCACGTATAAAGCCATTATTTAAAAAGAACCTTGCTCACTGAATAAAAGTTCACTGGCATTTTATTTGGTGACTTGGAATTTTTAAAAGTTAGTCACCTTTTAGGACACCTCACATCTGTCATGAGTGTTTTAGCTTCCATTTCATTAAACTGTACGCATGAACTAGGCCAAGCATTTTGTTAGTTATGATCCCTGCCCAAGCATGGTAGATTTATTTCTCTCCCCATAGAGATGTGTCCTGCGGTTTTTGGAATGCCTCTGTGCAAGCTCTGCCAAAGATTTCATTACTGCGTCTCACAGCGTAGGGAACAAGGCCAAAGACATGTAACTAACTAACCATAGCTTCTCCCTTGTTTCCTAAGATCCACTGGGATAAATGTGTTCTCCCCTTAGTTAAGCGAACTGGCACAGTTAATACATAAAGATCATCTAACTTGGCCCAGAACTAAAGGGACTTCCAGGGATGATAGAATCTAATCAGCCTAAGGAAATATCTATATCGTTCTAAATGTTCTAGGACAGAGAAATCATTACCTTGGACAGAGTTTTTCCTCCCTTTTCCCCTTCTTTATTTACTCCCCTCTTTCTTTTTTCATTTGTTCCTCTGTCCTTTCCTTCTTCTTTCCTTTCCTTTCAGCCTTACATTCCTTGTATCCTTCCTTCCTTCCCAAATAGTTAATGACCTCCCACTGTATGCCAGATGTTCTGCTATGCACAGGATTCAGCACATTTTTCCTGTACCCAAGATAAGGGAGGAATACATACTAAAAAAGACTTAAAAACAGGAGGCAGGGAAAGCAGGAGGAGTGATCAACATATGGGTATTGATTAGGGGCTGGGGCTTAACGTGGTCTTAGGCATATTTGTAAGAAATGGTGGAATTCCTTAAGGCAGTGGTTCTCAACCTTCCTGATGCCGTGGCCCTTTCATATAGTTCCTCATGTTGTCGTGAGCCCCCAACCATACAATTATTTTCATTGCTACTTCATAACTGCAATTTTGCTACTGTTATGAATTGGACAACTCCTGTGAAAGGGTCGTTCGACCCCCCCCAAAAAAAGGGTCAGGACCCACAGATGAGGAACCTCTGCCTTAATGGATGGCTTCCTTAAGAAGGTGATCTCTGAGTTGAATCCTAGGGAAAGTGAGCATCAGAAGCGACATGGAGAGATTGGTAGAAGGTCCCTGTTGGTGGTGCCAGCTTGTAAGACAGAGTACAATTCATTCAAGGAATTCAGAGAATGCCAGTATGGCTGGAACCCTGAAAGAGAAGTGGTAAGAGATCCAGTGGGCTCTCCAACCAGCTTCAGAAAGAGCAGAGCAACTTCAGGAAGTCCTCAAAACTCAGCCAGCCTTCCCACAGCTATACAGTTCTAGTCCCTCATGGTATGTGACCTGAGTATTGGCCTAGTGAAACCTTCTCTATTAACCATCATTGACTATGATAATCAATCAAATTAACTAAAGAAAAAAAATAACTAACATTCATCTTTCCACATTCTCAGTCTACTTAGGACAGCTCAAAGTCACTTAATTGTTTGTATATATGTAAAATTATAATTAACTGCTTCTACAGCAGTTTTTTGAGCATTGATCTACAGTTTATGCAATCCTAAAAGAAAACAGAATAAAAGCAAAGCCATTAGATATTCAAGGAATTCTGATTATGAGTATATATTTTAAATCAAAATGCCTTATAAGTTGAATAATAGAATTATTTTTAAACATGAAATTCAGGCTTGAGATGTGTTTCTGCTAGAAGTTTAATATTATATGAGAGTTCATATATATATATATACATACTCTGTACAAGAATCATCACAATTTTAAAAGATATAAGATATACAGATAATGAAGAAAGGACTTGACTCTCTACTTCAAAGAAAGGAGCCACTAAAATCTTTATGCATAGCTTTTAAGCTTTGTCAGATACTGAAGGCCTAAGAATGGAAGCAGAACATTGTTGGGGATAAAGGCATGAGAATTTTGACTTAAGAGGAACTAATTTATCGGGTGAAGTCAACCATGGCAACATGAGTCAGTTAAATCCTGGCACTACGGAGTCTTATGTACCTTCATTTGGGGCATGATTCAGGGTAAAGAGATACAGCTGCAAATATCCACTGATGATCAGAACTTGGAATGTGCTAAGCATGAATCCAGGAAAATTGGAAGTTGTCAAAAAATGAAATGAAACACATAAAGGTCAATATCCTAGGCATTACTGAAATGAAATTGACTGCTATTTGCCATGTTGAATTAGAAAAACATGTGATTTACTATGCCAGGAATAACTCAATCAAGAGGAATTGTGTGGCATTCATCGTCAAAAAGGACATTGCAAAATCCATCTTGACGTATAAAGCTATGTGTGAGAGAATTATATCTATCCACTTTCAAAGAAACACAATCAACACAAATGTTATTCAAATTCATGCAGCAAACAAAGAAGCTAGCGATGAAGAAATTAAAGAATTCAACAAATGACTTCAATTGAAAATTGATCAACTATGAAATCAAGATGCATTGGTAATTATGGGCAATTAGAAGGCAAAAGTTGGAAAAGATAGTTTTGGTGATAGAAATGAAACTGGAGCTTGCATGATAGAATTTTGCAAAACTAATGACTTGTTCCTTGTAAATACCTTTTTTCAACAACAAAAGGCAACTATATATGTACACATGGACTATCCCAGATGGAATACACAAAAAATCAAATTTAGTACATCTGTGGGAGTGAGACAATGAAGAAACTCAATATCAGCAGCTAAAACCAGACCAGGAACCCACTGTTCCACAGTTGGCCATATGTAACTTTAAGGTAAGGGTAAAGAAAATTGAAACAAGTCCCTGATAGCCAAAATATGGCCGTGAGTCCATCTCACCTGAATGTTGAGAACATCTCAAGAACAGATTTGAAGCATTTAACACGAATGACAGGACCCAATGACCTGTGGGAGGATATCAAGATCATCGTTCCTGAAGAAAGCAAAAGGTCATGAAGAGACCCGAAAGAAATGAAAGGTCAAGGTGGATGTCTGAAAAGACTGAAACTTGCTCTTAATCATAGAATAGTTAAAGCAAATAGAAGAAATGAGGAAGTCACAGAACTGAGTAGAATGTTTCAAGGGGCAGTTTGAGAAGGCAAAGTCAAATATTATCATGAAATGGGCAAAGACCTAGAATTAGAAAAACAAAAAGGAAGAACACTCTCAGCATAACTGAAACTGAAAGAACTAAAGAAAAAATTCACGCCTCCTATTGCAATCTTAAAAGATTCGACGGGCAAAATATTGAATGATGCAGGAAACTGTAAATGAAGATGGAAATAATACAGAGTCACGGCACCAAAAAGAAATAGTCATCAGTCCAACATT